GTACCTCTTCGATGTGGGATAATGTGAAGATATTAACTTGAAACATTAATATATTATATATTTTGTTTGCGCTTTTAATACTACTAAGTAGCATGTGGCTTACTGGTTATAACTTTCTTTCTGCAACCCATTCTCCTTGGGACGAAAGGGGGGTTCTTTTGTCAACTATTTTTTTGTCAATTTTATTTTTTTCTTGTCAATTTTATTTTTTTGAGGTCAAATTTTTTTCTTATAAAAAAAATGAAAGGTTTTTTTATCAATTTCGCTTTTTGTCAAATTTTTTTATTATCAAAAAAATGAAAGGTTTTTTTATCAATTTCGAATTTTGTCAAATTTTTTTCTTATCAATAAAATAAAATTTTCTTATAAAAAAATGAAAGGTTCTTATCAATTATTTTTCTTGTCAAAATTCTTTTTATTGTCAAAAAAATAAAAAAATTCTGCCAAAAAAAAAAAAAGTAATAAAAAGTTATTGTCAAAAAAAAAAAGTTCTTATAAAAAAATAATAATACAACAAGTATTTTTGTCATAAGAAAAAATGAAAGGTTTTTTTATCAATTTCGCTTTTTGTTAAATATTTTTCTTATCAAAAAAATGATAGGTTTTCTTTATCAATTTTGCTTTTTGTTAAATTTTTTTCTTATCAATAAAATAAAAAGTTTCTTATAAAAAAAAATGAAAGGTTCTTATCAATTATTTTTCTTGTCAAATTTTTTGTCAAAAAAATAAAAGGTTTTTGTCAAAAAAATAAACAGTTATTGTCAAAAAACAAAAGTTCTTATAAAAAAAAAAAAATACAAGTATATTTTGTCAAAAAAGGGTTCTTGCTAAAAACAAAAAAAAATGTAATATGACAAACATTTCTTGTAAAAAAAATAAAAGGTTTTTGCCAAAAAAACTAAAATGTTCTTATAAAAAAATCATTCTTTATTGTAGTCCATGTAAGATTATATACTTCATTCATGATAGTTCTATGATTTTTATTTTGTGTGATGTAATTTAATGGTTAAAATAAGTTCACGTAGAGAAAAAATATCTCAATATTCACATATTGATGAAAAAAATGAAAATTAATAATATAGTACCCCGATTTCTTATTGGATTCCTAAAAAACAACATTTATAATAAATTTTCATAATTTGTTTATATTTTTTTTACAGCTTAATTCTATTGATTCGGCCGATTTCTGATCCGGATCGCTGATCCACCGATCCGGATGGATTTTTGGGGTGCCCGATCGGGGCCACGGATCCGTTTTTTAACCCACTGCTTGAAATGATTGCATGTGGCTACAGAAACTTACTAATGAATCACTTACATACTTTAAGAATGGCATATTCGGCATGCACATCTGCTGATGGTTTACATAAGAAAGTTTTGCACCTTGTCTTAGTTATTGAACTGAAAACAGATTAGTCCATGACTGCACCTATCTAATACAAAACGCGAGACAAACTTCTTGTGTCTATTGCAGTTTTATTTTTGAGAATGCATCACTTGACTGATAAAAGTAAGAAATGAAACTCTTAACTTTTGCATTATTTGGTGCTTCCACTTACGGGCATATGATCTTAGCCGCTTTTAACCATCAATTGATTCACTATAATAAGATTCACATGCAAAATAACTAAACTGATTACAAGTGAATGGCCTAATCACGGTCTAAAATGTTTGAACTACATTTATACACCTAAGCCATGTACATGCATACGTAATGTACAAAAACATTAAATTAATGTGGACGGACACTAAAATAAAATGGTTGACACACTAAATTAATGTGGGCGGACCTTTATTCTGCTTTTATATATGGTCAGACAACATTATTTCAAGTTGTTTTTAGTATAAAAATCTCTTTAGTATGGACCACATTCATCGTGATTGGGACATATCCATCTCTTACTTGATAGAAATGCTTACCCATAAAGTATCAAAACCCAATCAACACCAGCACAATAGAAGAATTAAAACCAAGCAGACAAAAAGTATCCATCCGATCTTTTACTCTGCATCACTAATATTTTCTCTTAATAATTTTTTGGTCCTAACTTTTAACCTACTTACTCACTTTTATGCTCTTCAATTCCTCAAATATGTCACTCTAAATCCATGCTCCTCATACACTTTCTTCTCTCTCTCTTTCCTTAAATATCTCTCCCCGAACTCACTCTTTAATTTCTGACTTTCATCAAGGGTGGCTAAGTGTTGATGGATGTTGGGCAGGCTGCACATAGGGTTCAGGACCACAGACTTGACATCATAGCATGTGGCTGCAGAAACTTACTAATGAATCACTTGCATACTTTAAGAATGGCATCTTCGGAATGCACATCGGCTGATGATTTATGCAATAAAGTTTTGAATGCCATCTCAGTCATTGAACTGAAAACAGATAAGTCGATGATAGCACCTACCTAAAACAAACTGGGGAACAACAACTTGTGTCTATTGCAATTATTTTCGAGAATGCATTACTTGTTGATCAAAGCAAGGAATGATACTCTTAACTCTTGCATTAGTTTGTGTTTCCACTTACTAACATATGATCTTAGCAGCTTTTTACTATGAATTGATTCACTATAGTTAGATTTGCATACCAAATAGTAATTACTATGAATTGATTCACTATAGTTAGATTCGCACACCAAATAGTAAAACTACTTAACAAGCTAATGGCCTACTCATGGTCTAAAGTGTTTGAACTACATTTACACACCAAAGTAATGTACATACATACACACAGAGACAATAAATTAATGTGGATGAACACTAAAATAACATGTCTGACACACTAAATTACAACAGCAAACTATCTACGTACTCATTAGCATAGCTACTAGTGAAGTATTGCAGTTAGAGGGGGCGAAACGCGAGGTCACATAACCACCAGGTTTATCAGACTAGCCACCTATATTCCTGTTAAATTAACTAATGAGATATTCATGTTAAATTAACTAATGAGATACCCTTAAAAAATCCTGATGAATTTCATGTTTACTTCCAATATAGTGAATGATTAAAAAGAAACAAAGCATTCATATGTGAAGAAGTGCATCCATTACAACAGCCCAAAACCAGAAATAAATGTCATCTTAGAGCCAAAAAACAAAAAGCAAAAACAAGAATGTGATTACTGAAAGTTTCAACATAGTTACCAAGGCCATATCAACACTTTTTTCCAATTTTCCTTTAAAATATTAATGCCGAGATGCAAATTCACCAGGAAATTGCAATTCAAATGCCCCGACCTAGATAACTACTAGCTCACCAGCTCATCCAGTCATTGATGCACACATAAGCTAAAAAGAAAAGGAAAATTCTTGTCAACTAACCTCACGGACCCAAATTGTGCCTACACATGTTCTCTTATTGACAAACAAAGGAATCTGACTAAGGCATCCAAATTCAAGTTCCAAGTCGTCCATCTCCATCGCAACAAGTATGGGTCTAGGCTTTGTCCCAAAATGGGGAGCAACTGGCCCGATATGCAGTTTGGGCCGTCTTCTATATTATGTGAAATAGAATGAAAATTTTATGTCTATAGTCAATATAATATAACATTGAAAACTCCATCCAGGTACTAGTTTCCCATGTAATTACAGCTGAAGAGCCTTGGTGTAAAAGGAAAAATTCCAAGTAAGGGGCCATCATGACAGCGGGGATGCCAAAAGAATTCCCAGTCAAGCTCCCTCCTCTTTCCTTGGGTACTGTATAGAGAGAGGCAGACACCCATATTCTTAGCTTCAGCAACAAAGAAAGAACGATGTTGCATGATTACATTCACATCAGGCCTTCGGCCAAATCTTTTTTCAAGACATATTTCAGTGACTCTCATCCACTTCTCCGCGTCCTCCTTCCTAAATACCCATATGCCCAATTTGCGTTGTGCAAATCCATGAACCAAGTATGGTCTTCCTTCCCACTCGACTATTTTCATCAACCACTTTGCTCTATTATCAGAAACATGCAAAGGCAATGTGAAAATTTCCCATTCCTCTCTCTCCATATCAAAACCAAACATTTTCACCTCATCTACACATTGAAAAACTCCGTAACACACGCCACGCACACACAAAAAAGGGTTCATCTTCCCAGACACACTCGCCAGCAACTTGGCGCCAACACTCTTCCACTGCCCTGTTGCAGAGCTGAAAACCCAACATTCATCCTTAGATGTCAAAAACGAAACGAGTACCTTGAAAACTTGACCCTCGAGATCAAAGAAAAATCCTAAAATCTCAGGCCTGGACTTGAGCACTGGAAGTGCAGCATATTCTCGAGTCACAGGGTTGAATATGTAAACAATATCGGGGAATTGGTTCGTTGAAAAGCACACCATGCCATGGCTTTCAAGAACGAGACGCAAAGTCCCTCCCGAAGGTAAATTTATGCGATGAAGACGCCGAAGGTCACCTCCAGAGTGCACAAATGCAAATGGGAGGGGGCTCGCTTTGTGTGACAAATCGGATTTTGGAATATGCAGAAGGAAAAACCCATTCGGAACGCATGCAAGGGCAGAGACATCAGAAGGATGGGCGGGAGAAAGAGAATGGATTCTAGCAAAGTGGGGAGAGGAGAGAAGTTGGTTCCATGATTTACACACACATTTAAACCTGAAAATGGAATTTATAGGGAGTGAGGATATGATTCTGAGAGTTACGTCTTCTGAGATCGAAGATAGGAATCGGATGATCTCGTTATTGGAGGAGCGAGAGGCCCCACTAGAATCATCGCCATGCGTATGTGAGGTGCGGGCCTCTTCTTCTTCATCTTGAGAGCAGGATTCCAAAGAGCGGATTCTTTTAAGTGGTTTCATCATCTCCAATTCGATCCAAGAATCACTCATTTCAAACCGAGAATGAGGAGGGAGAAAAGAAAAAGGAGTGGGAGTTTCATAACAAGGGTTTTCCATTTCGATCCAAGAATCTCTCCTTTCCATCCAAGAATGAGGAGAGAGAAAAGAGAAGGGAGTTTCATGACAAGGGTTTCTTTTGACTGGTTTTCTTTCCTCCATTTCTGATCAAATAATCAGAATAGAGAAATAGAGAGGGGAATCTCATAAGGTGGGTTTCTTTTGACTGGTTCCATTTTCTCCAGTAGATCCAATAACCATTACAGAGAAAAAAAAAAAAAGTCCCAGTCCCAATTCTTTCTCCACTTTTGACCCAAAAATAGGACTAAGGGAAAGAGAGAGGAAATTCACACTTACAGAGTGAAAGAGGAACTCTTTGATTCCCTGCGTTGGCCTGTCCTTTGAGCCATGGCAAGAAAGAGGCAGAAAATCGCCATGACAGAGACTCTAAAAAGCTCAAATTTATCTCTGAAACCCTTGTTTTCTCCGCGCTCAATGCAGCATCATCCGTCTCACTCCATTAACATTTGTCAAGCAGATTAAACGCAAATTGGAAACATCTGTCACCCTAAATTAATTATGAAGGGTGAGGTTTGGACAATATACCCTCCTTTCATGCTCTACCATACAAATAAGGTCTACTTTTAGGTTTAGGTTTAGGTTTAGGTTTAGGTTTTGTTGAAACTTGAAACGTACTATTTATGTAGGATGGACCTCAGAAATCCATCACAAAAGCTTGTTTGGGGGTTAGAAATCCCTCAAATTGAATATGTATGAATATGAAAAGAAAAAAAAAGGTTTGGAGTCAACAAATTAGTGTATTTTCTAACGTATTATTTGGACGGTCTATTTTTAAGATTTTTATTTTTTTATAAATTTAATTGTTTTGAACTATTTTTGTAGTTTAAAATTTTATTATTTGAGAATATTGATTCTCAAGTTATCCTATGAATTTTTTTATACCAAAACTACATTTATGATAAAATTTGGAGATGCGCCTTAATTGGATTGTCGAAAGTTGCAACCCTATGCAAACCATACCCTTTAGGTTTTGTTGAAAGATAGTATTTTTGGTATTAGAAATGTTCTGATGGCATCAGTCTATTTTCATGGAATTTTAAGTTTCAAGAGTTATACATCGAATTTATGTATAATAAAAAAGGAAAATTTTAAACATAGATATATCAAATTTTTTTCTTTATATTAATACATCTCGAGGTTGAGATGTTCAATTGGAAGGTTTTTCAACATTGAAGCAATATTTTCAATGGGTTTTTTGAGATGCACCTTAGTCCTATAATATAGTTTGCAATCTTATATAAACTTTTTCTATTAAATATAAAAAGAAAAAGATTATATAAGGTTGTAACCTTAAACTGTATAATTAAAGTGCATTTCAAAAATCCATTAGGAAATATATTTTTTTGATGTTGGAAAAAAAAATGATTTTGTGCCTCAAAAAATAGTGTATCTTGCAATATATTATCTGGCTTGTATATTTTCAAGATTTTCATGTGTTTATAGATCTACTTGTTTTGAACCATTTTCACACGGACATGGTTTCTATGCCGCCAGCGCGCATATTGTAGAAATGAGGGCTTGGCAAGAAATATAATTTTAAAATATAATTTAATTCTAATTTTTAGATAATATATAATCTTTAATATGGAGATCATGAATATGAAGAGAAAAAAACTAAAAACTATAAATAATAATTATATTTAAAAAATATTTGGACCGTTAGTTACACTTGTTATTAGATGGATCACATGTTTGCATCCATCTTTAAGATGGATGCTTTATATCACCGCATATTAGAAATGCGATCTAGCTCGCATTAAACAATTTTCCTTTTCAAACATTAAACTGTTATAATTAGAGATAAAAACATATTATGATGCCATCCTAAGCATTTTGAAATCCAAACTACATCTTATGCTAAAATTTGGAGGTGCACTTTGATTGTTTTAGGCAAACTACAACCATAACTAAATGTTGTATTATTATGAAGACTATTGAAATGGTTTTTTTTTTAGAAGACCTGCGGACATGTATATAGGTGCATGGAAAACTTGAGTAGGAGCATTGAGGTTCTTAGCTTTAGTGATCGGATGAGGGAAAGAGTGCGCCCGCTAGAGCAACGTGTAGATTTGCCCCAACAGGCAAAAGTCCACCCAACCTAAAACAAAATGAGAGTTAATATATGTTGCGAGAGGGTTTAGTGAGTTAGGGGACGCCCACTTAACCAAAAACTACAAATGAGCAGTGTTACAAATTTTCCAAAAAATGTAGCAATTAAATTTTTAAAATTTATGTATTTTTTCATATTCACAATCTTTGTGTCGAGACCAGCAGTCCCTACAAAGGACTCAAAATTAATATTTAAGATAAATTTTGATAGAACACTAGATCGACACATAAAAGGGAATATTTATGGAAAAACAATTGCGATTTGAGCTATTACACTTGGGTAGAATATTGTAAGTTCATGATTCATAATAAGTTTTAGTGGAATTTTATGTTGACTTCCTACCTAACACAACTAAGGTATTTTACACGAGCATGGTGGGTTTAGGAAAATTTAAGGTCCTTATGACTCTTAATATAGCATAATAGGAGATCATGATTGGCGTAGCCGCATCAATTAATTGAGAAAAGGTTTTGACAATTATGACACTTGGGGAGAATGTTAAATAATTATTATTATAAGTATATATTAATTAATTCCTCGTATAAAAAAGGTTGTTGAACATTTGCCCCACGAATGCTTGAAAGTTGAAAACATTTGTAATCTAAGATAAACATAACCATTCATCAAAGCTAAAAGTTTATACAAGTATAGGATTGTATACTACAAAGTTATTGACTTCACTACAAGACGGTTGCAGACGTCAGATAAGAAATCTGACGGCTTAGAGTGTCACAAAGTTCAAATTTTTATTTATAGTTGGAACCTTAGTCGATGGCATAGCCAAATGGTCTTATTGCATACTTTTCCCATAAGTATCGTAAAACAGGTTCTCACATTTTAGATAAACAATCAAAAAGTAAGGCACACCTTCAAGTTGTGTTAAAAGATGATGTTTCAGTATTGGAAATATTTGTGGTGGCTCAAAATTTTATTTTTATTTTTAATTATAAAATTCAATACTCCAAACATAGATTGAGCAGACCTATGAACACTTGAAAATATTAAAAATTGGTGGTCCAAGAAATGCATTACAAGTTGCACCATTTTCAAATTTTGAAATTTATTTTTCCTCATGTCCACAATTTGAGGATTTTTGGATATCAAAAGAACCTTTTCTAGTGAATTTTTTAGTTATGCCTTAATTTGATTATTTAGAGCCTCATTCTTAGGTATGCCCATTCAAAATGGCGTACCACTATTTCAAAATACCGAACTGCCTATTTCTCTAATAGCATAATCCCTGGACCACCACAATAAAATGCCAAACCAGCCACTCCAGCAAAATAATCATCGAATTGCCCTCTCCAACGAAAATGATTTGTTGGGTAAGGGAAGGGTATTTTCGTCAAATAAATGAACTTTTTGTATTGGGGCATTTGTTAGGAAACATGGTTTTTTTTTGGGAGTAGTGGTTAGAAAAAGTTAGGTTGGGGATAAATTGATTAGAAAGTCCATTTTGGGGGGTTTTTTTGAAATAAATTATATTGGCCCTAATAATAGGTGGTGAACGGTGTAATGTTATGTGAGAGTTTGGGTCTAATCAAAATAGGTTCAATTGTTCGGTAGAACTTATTTGCCCAAATAAAAAATAAAATAAAATCATAGTTCAAAAATATATATTATAAAAAATATCCATTTTATTTAGGAAAAATATCTCCATAGACCCTATTTTTAACTTTCATTTCTTCCTAAACCCAAAATTTCAAAACTTATCTTCTAACCCCCAAATAACTTTTTCTTTTTTTATTCTAACTTTTAACCCAAACAAATTAAAAAAGACACCTTTTTTCTAACTCTCTCCTCACATGTTTCAATCTCTCTCCTCACATGTTTCAATCTCTCTCCTCACATGTTTCTCTCTCTAGACTCATCGTGCTCATAACCCCTCTCTTTTTCTTCTTACCCACCTTCTCTCTAGCTGCTCTCTTGCTCTTACTCTGGACCTACAATGGGGTTACCATCTTCTACCTCCATCTCCCTTTTTTGGCAAAGCCCACTTCGGAAAACGTATATTTTTGATCGAAAAAAACAGAATCTCTCTCTCTGAAATTGATCTTTGCAGGCTTCTTCAAAGTTAGCTGTAATAGAAAGAGATAAAAATTCGAGTTTCTTTTTGGAATTTCTTCAAAAGTTGATCCCAATGGCTTGATCAGTGGAGAAGTGGAAGAACCCGATAACAAAGAGAATCCCCCTGTAAGTTTCAGGGTTTTGGACTCAGCCTGCAAATGTCTAGCCTCGGCTAATGAAGCTCTCGAGCTAGGTTCTTTGAAAACGATTATTATTTTGGTTAGATCACGGTCTATCTAGATTGGTGGTGATTTTCTGGTTCGTGTTGTCAAGAATTGGTTCAGTTTGTTCGAAATTTTATCAATGGAGTAATTAAAGGGGTGGAAGGATTTTGGGGTCCTCCTCCTTCTCTGAATGTTGTTGAGGTTCAAGGTTTAAGCCCCAAAAAACATGAAAGTGCATGAACATGCCACTACTAGTATAAGCAATAACACTTTGAACACCCACCGGTTTTATGAACACATAGAATCCCCGCTTTCTCTCTCTATAAATACTGCAATGCTTTCTTTCTCTCTCATCACTTAAAACCTTGGGAGTAGTTTGAATTATCATAGAGCGATGAGCGTGGCGTTGCCGTTTCAATTGAGGTTTTGGTGGTGGCTTTGGTGGTGGTGAGTAATGTGTTTGCTGTTGAAGTCGGCAATGGCTTTACCAATGATAAGCACTTCTTGCTAGGGCACATGCATGGTCCATTTGGCCCACGATTTAAGCATCATGGTGGAGGACTAGAAAGAGGTTTTGGCAGGGGTGCTCGTGGTGGTAGATAGAGAGAGAGAGGGGTTTGGGAGGTTAGAAGAGAGAAAGGGAATAATGTCAAGACAGAGAGGAGTTTAAAAAATAATGTTTTTTTTTAAATTTGTTTGGGTCAAAAGAATTAGTAAAAAATGAATAAAATATGGTTAGGGGGTTAAGAGATATAATAGAGTGAAATTCTATATGGCAAGATAGATTTTGTAACTTTGGGCAATGAAGAAATAAAAGTTGAAAATAGAGTTTAGAAAAATATGTTATTTTTTATTTAACTAATATCAGTTAAAACTTATATATTAAACCAATAAAACTAGTCATGTATTAGTTTTAATTTGACCAATTTTCAATTAAAATCAATTGTTGTTTTAGACTTGATAGCCTAAAAAACAAGTTGGCGGTGTGACCAATTGTATCAAGAGAGTTAAGCTAGTCCAGTCTAGTGAATGTGGTTAGGTTAGCCATGGCTGCACATTGCCCGGTGGACATTCAAAATGCACACATGTAACGACTTTGATTAGGCCCTCTCCACAACGCTGTATAAATGCACATAACTTGTATCCTTAGGAAATCAAGCCATATACATTTTGTAGTAGGTAAATTGGCTAACCTAATCATGATATAAATCAACTTACCCAAAAAAAATCATGATATAAATTAAAGTAAACCGCACCAGTAGTCGTATCTACCATGGTACCAAGTGCATATACTATATACTCCCTTGGGCATAATATATGCTACGAATATTTTTAGAATTCAAATTTTGGGGATGTAATTTTACAACTCATAATCTAAAAAAAGGGGAAATTATCAAAACCATTGGCTTATTAGAAAAAAGTATGATTTTTTAAAATTCATCCATACCTTTTTCTTTTTTTTTCATTTGTCACGTTATTTTGATTAAAATAACCTTCACAGTATTCGTATGACCATGAAGGTATCATGGTAGACTCTGGGCCATGATGGTCTTAATGTTCCAAGCACCATGGTGGTCTTAATGTTCTAAGCATCATGGCATTTTAAGTATCGTGATACCTCTCATTATCATCACAACATTTTAAGTGTCATGACACTTCTCATGGTCATCACAACATTTTAAGTGTCAAGATACATCTCATGGCCATCACAGGATTTTAAGTGCCTTGATACCTCTCATGGGCATCATAACATTTTTAAGTGTTGTGATGCCTCAAAGCATAAGTACCATCACGACATTGAGTCTACCGTAATTCATTCACGGTTATAGGGTTACTGTAAAGGCTATTTTGGTTACAATAACGTAAAAAGTCAAAAAGTGTGTATGGGTGAGTTTAGGAAAATATAGAGTTTATTTCCAAAAAAAATCGAAATAAATTGTCTATGTACTAGAAAAAAATAATGCCTCATGATTGAATAAAGGCTCGTGAATTAGTGCTACAAAACTCAAAATTCAGTTTTTTTTATTGTAAAGATAATGATTTAGTAATTTTTATGCGGTTCCCAAAAGTTTAAGCTAAAATAATCTTCTTAAATAAGTATTTTGTGCAAGGGAGTAGATGCGCAATAATATGCTCCCAGGGAGTGTAGTATACATGCTCTACATTCAAACGAGAAAAGAGACACCTTAAATCAACAAAAAAAATTTATTGTTCAAAATGTACTTCAAAAATTCATTGGAAAATATTGTTTAAATGTTGAAAAACGCTATAATTGTTCGGATCGAGATGTATGAATACGGAAAAAAAAAAAAAAAAGATTTTGAGTCCCACAAATAAGGCATCTTGCAACACATTATTAGCTTAGAAAGAACCCCACTGGATTGATTTAGTATGCTTTGAATCGATTAGCTTAGAGAACCCCACTTGATTGATTCGCTCTACTGATAGCGGTACATTTGATTCGCGGTACCCAATCTCAAGCCCCATTATTATTCTTTTTTTTATATATATATATTTAGGAAAAAATAAAAAATAAATTTTTGGGCTTTCTGCTAGAAATGATATTTTTAATTTTCAGATCAATGCAATAGATTGTTTTCTCTATTAAATTTAGAAGAGTTTTTCGCTTGAATAAGTATGTGGTTGTAGGTTTTTGGCTTTTTTGGTTGCAGCATTTTTAGTAGTTGAATGTTAGGTTCTTTCTGTTTTTTGCTTTTATTTGTTGTTATTATTATTATTATTATTATTATTTATTCTTTATCAATTAAATGGAACTATGAGAAATGTTTAGATATGAAAAATAGCCCATACTTTTTGTTTCTAATAAGTTTTCTGAAATTTTCCTTTTTTTTTTTTTTTTTTCTATTTTTCCTGTTTCCATGGATTTCTCTGTTTGTTTTTCTAGTTTTTTCATTTTATGACTGGTGTTATCAGTGCCTGATGAAGTCCATCTCGACCGGTTCTGTCGGCAGTTCGGCTACCAGTTTCCTCGTTAACATCCATCGGAAAACGGTTCTGCTGGGAATTGGGATCACAGGAAGTTGCTGCACACCTATTATCTGCTGGGAATTGGGATCACAGGAAGTTGCTGCACACCAATGGGATGCATTTTCACCATATTTTGTGCGAGCCGAATATGTGTATTGTAGGTTTCATATGAAAACAGTTACAAGGTGTCTGCTTTCATGTGAACCAAAAAGATCACTAACCATGACATTTTTCACTAAATATGTCAGTTCATCTTCATCGTTGTTTTTTTAGTTTGAGCTTTAGTCAATGGATAGATAATAAAAAGTACTATGAGGATTTATGTCATCTAGTGTTTGCTAGAGTTATTTCATTTCATAGAAGGGTGCAGTTTTGCCTACGGATGCATCCGTAGGTGTAGAGGTAAGGCGCACCTTCAAATTTTATCGTGGTATATAATTTTGAGGTAAGATGTTCTTAAGATTATCTCAAAATTTAATTTTTATATCTAATTATAAAATTTTAAATTTCAAAAATAGTTAAAATCAAATAGATCTATAAACATATGAAAATCTTGAAAATAGACAGCGTAGATAATATGTTGTAAAATGCACTATTTATCATACATCTCGATGTCGAGATGATCAATCAAAGGGTTTTTCAATATTAAAACTTCCTTTTCCGATAGATTTTTGAGGGGCATCCGTAGTATAAGGTAGCATCCTTATATAAACTTTTTCCATATAATGTTTAATTCTAATTAAGGACATAGATAGTTAATGATATAAAAAATACATAAATCTTAAAACCCCACTGTATAGTGGGCTACAGATTACCAACAAAAGATGATTTCTGACTGAGATGACTGCATATTCACTGATGAACTTTTTTTTAGAGTTACAAGGAGAATTTATAAAGTAAAATTGAAAAACACACATATTTTAGAACAATAAAAGACATAAACGCCAGTACTTTGCATCATTGACTGGTCAATCGTTTGGGTGATAACAATGAGTTAAACATCAATTCCCTACCTTTGGACTTGTGAAATTTTGGATTATATAATTTTCTGGGGTTTTCTTCCAAATACCCAATATTTATTACTTACTTTTTCCTTTCGAAATCGTCACAGAAACATCATAATGGTTCTTTTAATGCTTTAATAGGTTATGTTAGTCTCTCAAAGATCATTATACCAGGCAAGTACTCTTTTCTTAGGAAGATTAGCAGTGAAATTGAAACCCAGGATGAAAAAATATGGCTTCGATTGGTTTGCTCTAGGGACGAACTTCAATGGTTGAACCCTTGATCACCAGCTTAGAAACCAAGTCTCTACCACTAGTCCAAACTCCAAAGAACATGTATTATGCAACTACTAAAGACCAGTCTGATTTTCTGCACCATTTTCCTTTTAGTGTTTTCAGTGATGAATAAGTTCTATACATATTTTATTCATATTTAATAGAATAACTTGGAGGTAGCTTTTTATAATACTTTGTCAACTATCATGGATAGATAATGATTTCTGATATCTGATCGTTGTTCTTTGTTAACTGCTTGGTGAAATAATAGATTAGAATTTCTAATCATTTTAGTTAAGTGACTGCGAATGTTATTGATGATAGTTGGACAGTTTTATGTCATTTTCCATTCAAATGCGTGGCATCCACCTGTTTTCCCACAGGGACTGTATTGGTGCAGTTCAGTCTTGAAAGACTGCAACCTCCGAAGGCCGTAATGTCACCCAGGGGCAAAGAAATAGTCACTATTATACATATTCTTGGGGTAGCTCAATGAGGAGGATCCAAAGATCCAGTGTGGACCAGCTATGCAAGCATAGATTTTCAAAAAATGCTTTGGTTAGTGAGAGATGCTGTTATTCTATTTTCTATTTCTGTTAAGGAATAAATTTGGTATTTTCTACTTTTGTTATGATTCAGGCCGTGATTTGGAATGTATATACTTGTCCCTTATCAAACAGTTGCAAAGAGTGAGATTAAGAAATGAAAAAGGAGGGGTAGGGGAAGGTCACCAATTTTTAAAATTATTGGTGTAGGAATAGGCTTGGGAACGAGAATAAGCCCAGATTCGAGAGCACGAGCGTCACAAGAATACTCAGACCCATGTAATCGTACTATGCAATAACAGAAAAATTAATGAAAGAGAATATAATTTTGAACATTTCAGGATTCATAAAATCTCTCACTCTTATCACGAAAAAATTTGAACTGTTGCATCATAATCAGAACAGTACCTCTCAGGTAGGGGGGATGCTGTCCTTCCATACTTGGCCTTTTCTACATCTGAGACCAGATAGATATTGGTTAACTATCGAAATAACTATCCAAACAAATTCCATAGGTGCACTCCATTCAATCTAGAACCTTGGGCAGGATACTCTAGTTCGTATAATAGGATGGGGCAAAGGAAGACAACCAACATAGATGTCACAATTGATTAAACAAACCAATGGAAGGTGCTCCAATACTAAATAAATGAACGTCATAAATTCCTTCTCTAATGCTTTGCTCACCAGCTTAAGTCCCCATCCTTGCAGCAAGTTCGCATGATGGGAAATATCAACTCAACAGCAACCTCAACCAAAAACACGGGCCCAAAGGCACTAAGTTCTTAAGAGGAACTCTAACAAGGTCAGACAACAATCATCCAAGATATCTCTTTTTAGTGAATAGCAAGACTGATTGGTAAATGCAGTAAGATAAAACAGCACCTATGAAAAATTAGAGAGTACTATTGAGCTAAGTAAAGTGATTGGTGTGGGGTGAGAAAGGGAAACTTTGCCACCAAGTTTTTGTCTTGCAATTCTTAAAATGAGAACAGCATTTTGTTATACTCCAGCTATCAACCTATACAAACTTCCTACACTGAAATATACATCTTCCATTTTTCCTCATGATCATTACTATGAAGTTTAACTTAATCCCTAGAAAACCATACGGTAACTAAAATTATTTATCTAGTTTTCGCTTAGTATCATTGCCTAAATAATTGACAGTTTAGAATGAGGTCTGAACATGTTCCAAACCTAGCATAAAAAAGTGTGTGCATCTGATGTAGGGGACTCACATAAAGATACCAAAAATGTGGGTGTCAACAGTAGATAGATTTGCAGCTGTATTTTGCATAATCTACAAGACACCACCTTATTGAAATGCAAATAAATCTCATATTATATGCACAGGTGAATTCTCCATTACTAATCGTCCATAAATGGACAGTCATTTGTCAATGAATGAAGAAGACCAAATTACAATGGTGAATTATTCAAATGCTCATCCACATAACCATTGAATTGCAGGAAGGAGCAAGCATGGAGAGAGGGGGCAATGGTAAGCAAATCAAGTTAACCATATGAATCAATCAAGTACCAGCAAATCAACAGGTGATTTCATCAATCGATTGTAACATTACCCAGGTACTATAAAGAAAACAAGATTTCAATTGTGAAGTGCCATAGATGCCGTTTGGTGCTCAACAATCTTCAAACAGATTAAAGCTCATATTTCAATTTTCATCCATGAAACTAAGGCCAACAACAAATGGAGTGCTCTACTTTCTTTGGTTATAAGGAGCATGAATTCATAGGGAATTTCTAACATCAAAACACACAACATATGGGCATTCTATTGAAAGACTCAATGTTTATACCAACACAAATCTTAAAGTCTCCAATCATGGCCAAATTGTAACTAAAATGGTCTGGTCTGCATCAAAAAGGAAAGCACACACACAAAAAAGGAAGAAGAGAACCTAAGACAATCTCTGATCAACAGAGGACAGCAGCATTCACTTAAGCCCACTAGTCAACTGCTGGTGGGAGGAGCAGGCCGACTTCTGGTGATTTCCAGGGCAGCTTGGCAACTATCGTCTTGCACTGTAACAGTGTTGGTGTAAAGGGATAAATTCTGAGTACAGAATTATCACAAAGGTTGTCGTTCCATTGGAATTTCCAATTAATGTCCCTTGTGTTTCCTTCAGTATCGAATGAAGAGACTTCAATACTATTCCGCACAACTCGGGCAATAAATAGAGATTCGTTGTGCCCGACTATGCCCAAATTACAAGTGTGCGGATATCTTTCTTTACGATAGAATTTTCGGTCTAGATACAAACTTGTAAGTTTCTCCCAAGTTGTCTCACCCAGTCCCCAGACTATCAATTCGCCCCTTTTTACTCCATGAACAAGGCACAGCCGTCCTTGCCACTCTAATAAGCTGCATGAATATCCCAAGATCCCATAAGGCATCGGAATAATTCTGAATTCTTCGTTTTCCATGTTGAAGGAGAGCACATTGTGCTCCTCCATTTGGTACAAAATGTTACCCACAGACAAGAACCGCCCTGGGTATACCAAGCCCCACAGGCCTGGGGTGACTGTTTTCCAAACTCCGGTCTCTGAGCTGAACATGCACAGCCATCTGGTCATAAAAACCGCATGCCAGCACCATACGATAACCTTGAAGTTATAGCTAATAGGGTCAAAATAAAACCCCTGAATATCATATTCAAGAGTTGGAATTCTTGGTACGACGATGTGTTCTTGGCTGATCGGGTTGCAAACAATAACATCTTTGCTATCATCGTCAGTCCCGTAGCAGAACATACCTTGACTGCAAAGGAATTGCTTTACGCCCTCTTGTATTCTGGGTAAATCTATTTTTCTTAGCGGTACTTTTGCATGAGGTACATTGGCGGCACGAAGAAAAAAGCTGCCAACGGATAGTGACACGATGGCAAATGTTTCCGAAGGCATCTTAAGTGAGAGATGATGCTTCTCAGCAAAGTCTGAGGAGGAAAGATTCTCTCCCCATGTCTTGCACACAATTTTGAACCGACAAATATCTTCAGCAGAGAGTCCCATTAGAATCTTGAGAATAGGATCATTAGGGAGTTCTGGGAGTGGTTGAACCACCGCGTCCATAACGAGTGAGGCATTGGCAATCCATGCTGCACGGTGAGTCCTCACTTCACTGCGAGTACGAGGGGCACGGGGCTCTATGTTGGCGGAAGAATCATCATGTGGTTGCTTTCTCTTTCTTGAGCTTACTTTTTTTGCCATATCAAGAGAGATAGGAGTTGCTGTAATGGAAGACATACTTCGAAAGACAGAGAGACTCTCTAAAGAAACTTAGGAGCAGGGGTGAAGGAGAGATGGGGGAGAGCTTGAGATGAGCATGCAGAGAGGAGGCCCTGTTTATAGAGAGTGGCAGCCATAGCTTTTTGCATGCATTTTCTTTTTTTGGTCATTTTGAATTAAGATGGAGAGAAGGGGAGGGTCCCCAAGATGCTCAGGCCAAAGATAGTTAAAAACCGCCCTCTGGAAAGTTGGTCCCTCTATGAGGCTTGCTTCCCGCCCTCTAGCTGGTTTAAATGGTGGAACACCAAAAATGAAGTTTTGGACTTCACTGCACAAAAAAGGTGTAAGATAACAGAAAAATAAAGAGCTAATTTTTTTTTGTTTTAGACATAAAAGATAGACACCACACATGGCTTTGCCTATGAATTATGGAACTTAAATCCTTGGTTTGAAATGCAATACCAGCAATTTTCATGTGCAAGAACCTAATTAAACTCTGAAGTTTGAGACAAAGTTTGATTGATAAACATTTTATTATTATTCATAATTGGCTCTCAATTTTTCCAAAAATGTTTTACACATATTCCCAAATAACCACATACCACAATAGAACCATTGGGCCATCCAAATGGAGCATATAATAATGTGGGGGAATAGAAATATGATTTTGTTCAAAAATTACATGCTAGTGGGGGAACATATCATCCATTCACTACCTCGGGTAAATTCTGGCTACGAATATATTTACGATCCCGAGTTTTGGGGATGTAAGCTCCTCAATCTAGCTGGTGTCAACCTCAAAAAAAGAAATCTATCATGCACACTCGGCATGTGCCGACAAAACAATGTCCTTAGACTAAACAAAGACCATCTAGATGGTCTTTGTTTAGCCTCAGTGTTTTGAAATTATTTCCATTTTCACTCACTGGGTAACCTTAATAACATTCAACAAAAAAACTCATCTTAAGATACTACTTTGCCAGAGCAAGTATATAGTGTGGTCCAGCAGCAGTACACCATATGCTGTGACTCAATGCAGCTGTCACATGTTATTACCGCGTCCCTGCCACTATTTTAAATATGACCCTCTAAGTGGCAATGCCAACATTGTAACCGCCAATTGCCACTTTTGTCGTTAAGGCTTTTGCAACTGTTTCTGTTCACATTTTTCTTTAAACTTGCAAGATTCATGGGGTGAAAACAATTGCAAGATTCATAGGTTTTTGCGGGTTTTTTTATCCTGTTTTTCTTAAGATTGTTTGTGGTTTTCCCACTCATGAATATTAAGGATTGTGTTCTGTGATACATGTAGAATATAAATAAAATCAGACACCTATTGTCAATGGTCCTCCAGGATCTTCAACTAAACCGCTTGATAAAAATAATGGTTCATCCCAAACATTCTAACAGGTACATGTAATACATTGTTTGTAGGCTACATTTAACATGAATTTTTTTGCTGTATACATATTTAGTATCCTTACTGCTCATTTATAAGCCAAAGTTAAGAATGGAAAATCAAATAATATGGATATGGACAGATTTATGAGACTGTTTATCTCAGAATAGTCTTCTAAAAGAGATACCCCAAAATTATGTGGCTTATTTTCCTTATAATTGGGGATAAGGACTAACATATATGTATTAATGTCATGGTTTGGACATTTGTAGTTATGGACAGTGTTTTTGGGTGCATGCCCACAATGTGTAACAATGGAGGGAGAGAAAGAGAGATTCTCCACCATTTAAGGGGTCATTATTTTTTTGAGGAAATCCTTATCACCATATATCAATCACACATAATATTTTGAAAAAGTAGCTGTTAAAAATTTAAATTCTGCTAGCTAATGGCACCTGTTATTTTTTCTTCATATTGTCATAACTCATTGGCTAATTATAGGAGGGGGAGATATTTTCAGTTGGAAGGCTTTGTAGGGTTTTCTATTTATGGGTTAATATTTTTCATTGGGTTGGAGAGGGGGTGGAAATGGGCAAGAGAAAGGTCAACAGGAGAGAGATTGGATATGGGGTTAGAGAGAGAGAGAGAATATGGCTAGAGAAATTGGAGGGAAAGAAAGATAATATTCCCTATCTATGCTTTTTATGGGGTACCACGCTAAGCAATATGTCTAATACTTCCTGTTTTACTCTTAATTCTGCAATTAAATGTGTGTTTATCTAGATGAATGCTTTGTTTAATACTCTTAATGGTGGAATTAATGGTGAGCTTATCTAAATTAATAGTAAGCTTATCCCGGGGTGGCATCGGGTCAGGTATGGGTTGGGTCTAGTTGGACCTGGACCCGAATGTATATAGGTTCAGGTTTTGGATTCGGACCCGACCTGTCGGGTCCCAAAGTTGGACCCATACCCGTACTCGTCAGGTCATGGGTCTATCCTGTTGGGTTCCGGGTGTGGTTGGGTCTATTGCCACCATCACCTTGAGCTTCCTTTTTTTTTTTTTTGCCAACTTTTTACCATCATATACCCAAATTATTGGCAACATGGTCACAACCCACTGTTAGATTTCAAGTCATCTTATTTGTCATTTAATAGCTTTAAGATGATTATGAATTCTTATTGTATATGATCCTTTATATACCCAAGCGAATCGGGCTTGAAGTATTTTATCTCCAGCAGTTTACAGGTACGGGTCGGGTCCAATCGAACTCGGAACCGGACCTGAATAGTGTTCGAGTCTAGGTTTTGGACTTGGACCCAATCTGTCGGATCCAAATGTTGGACCTATACCTAGACATATTCGGGTATACCCAACGGGTCCTAGGTCGGGTCTAGGTCCATTGCCACCCTTAAGCTTATCTATTGAATACTTCGTGTTTTACTCTTAGGTCGTGTTTGGTTCCTTGGAAATGGGTATCTTAGGGAGATGCCACTCTTGGAATTGGTACTTCCTCGAGTTAATATTTCCTGGAATATAGATGTCTGCTGTTTGGATAAGATCTGGTAAGAGACTTGGAAGATGCCCGTCCACTATTTAGATTGCCGGGGAGACGTGTCTCCTCTATATATATATATATATATATAGTAGTGTGTTCTAGTAGTGACTAACTAACATACTAATAGGCGCTACTTACTAACTTACTA